GAAGAAGAAGAAGAAGAAATGTTTTCTTTGCAAAGGAAAAAAAATCTACGGAAGAAAAAAACGCTAATAAAACTGATTTTATTCTGTTTTAGATCAAATCAGTATAAATATATTAATACTAACATTTATCGAAACAGACTCATAAGCACTGAATTGATTCAGGGCATTGCGACACTGAACCTCTTTCTCAAACTAAATTTACACGAAGCCTAAATTAAGCGGGACGAAGTAAAGCAAGGGGTCGTTGAAAAGTTTTCAGTACGGACGAAATTTTTATTATTTCGTCCATACGTTAGATTTTGTTGTATTGGATTGAACAGAGTATTTTTCAATACACTATCGTTCATTAACTGTTATGGAAGCCATCACATACAGACAGAAGCAACTTATTGTCCATCTTTGTCATCTATATAATAAATGCCAATGTCATTATGTCACTGTGTCACATTGTTTCAATTGAAGGGATACAACTCTCAACAGCACATCTTCTTCTTCTGTATAATAAATGCCAATGTCAATCTGTCACTGTGTCAGACTTTTTCAACTTTACTCCGAAAGTCCGTAGGCCAACATATCATACCATTTTGGAATCAGGCCGACTTCATGAGTAAATTAAAAACATTCCGGGTCGGATCCAGACCCCCCCATCCTGACATTTTGGTTTCCAAAATTTTCATTACTTCGATTGTTTTCGGTGATTTTTTTACGTGATTTTTTTACGACGAATATTTTTGTACGATAACAATTTTTAAAACTAGGGTCTAAAATTTGGAAGAATTGAAATGAATTGCGAAATCCGGCAAAAGTCACCCGTGAAATAAAAATAATTGTTTTACAGAAAGTAAGGACCTACGTACATCAAATTGTTTTTAAATTCATTGGCGGCAAAAGAATTATCGCGGAACTTTTAATAATGTATTTGCAGTACACTAACCTAGCTCAATTTTTGCCATCAATGGTAGCATACGATATCTGGTCTAAAAGTATCGGGACTAGGTCTATAAAAAGGAAGCTGTAACACATGTCAATTCGGTATTTAATCCTATTCAAAATAGCCCCCTTCTGTAGCCACTAACTTTTAACAGCATTATTTGGATTCCTGGAAGCATTCCTGAAACTCCTGTTTGAGGATAGCGAGCAGATGTCTCACTGCATTCTCTTAGATTTACTCGACGGCTTGAAATCGTGTTCCTTTTAAGTAGGATTTTATTTTTGAAAAGAAAAACGTCGCAAGGAGAGAGATCGGGTGGGTGGCAAATGGTGGTTGTCAGACCTGTGGTTATGCTGTCCTTGGCCAAAAACTGCCGTAAAATCCATGTTCACCGATGGAATCTACGTGGTGTGATGAGACGACCATGTTCTACATACTTTCGTTCCAAGCTCTACTGGAAAAGAGAACGACAACATCACAACCAAGCGGCTATGCGTAACATAGCTCAAGGTCAATCTGTGCCAAGCGGCTTCAATCAGCGTACTTTAGCTCCGTTGCCTCAGCAACAGTTCGGATACATTTTTGATCAGACTTTGTACATAGTTGATTAAACGACATTTTTTGACTCCTCTGTGATGCAAGTCTGCAGACGCAAGAATAGCAGGAAATAAGTTTAGATCTGGGTTTCTGTTCTACACGAACCGCTTTATAAACAACTGATCTTTATATTAACGTTTTTTGATTGCAGCGAAACGTTTTGAAGGGGAAAATCTTTTCATATCAAGACCTGCGGAAATTTACTCAAAAAGTATGGAAGATCTGTCTGATGTGCCTGATAATCTTTTCAATAAATAATTGATTAAAATATAAATTTGCTTTAGTTTTGAAGAATAGAATTGATGAACGAAGCAGAAAGTTATTTATGACTCAACACCATAGATTTTAACAATGAAACGTTTGCCTCCATGTCAACGAAAAGTTTCATACAAGAACATATATTTATATAATTTGGAACTCGGTGTTGTATTCACAACATAGCAAAAATTGTTATCCATATCACACAAATAACTAATATATATATATATATATATATATATATATATGAATGAATGAAGAAATATAGTTTTATGGTGTGCTATATTTATGGGATAAAGTGCTCAATCAGAGATAGAGCGTATGTAAATATAAGTCAACACTTATATATATATATATACATTATAAATTAATTGATTTAAAATATGTTTTTTTCGTTACACAGTTCTAACCATGTTTCAAAAATGGAAGCTAAAAGCTTGGAGACTTCAAAATTCGCTTAAGGATGAAATGGAACTTATATCTTTAATTTAATTACAAAATTAAATTCGAAGCTTTTAGCTTCCATTTTTGAAACATGGTTAGAACCGTGTAGCGAAAAAACATATTTTAAATCAATTAATTTAATATTAATGCTCTGTAAATTTACATTGAGCACTATTTTGTAAAAATAAAATATCTATAAGAACACCGGATTATATATCTTATTGTTCTTTCTTTATATATATATATATATATATATATATATATATATATATATATATATATATATATATATATATTGGGTTATTCAAAAAAGAATGAACCGATTTCAGGAATCACTGCTTCAGTTCTCTAGCATCGTCATGGAATGAATCAGTGACTGTT